TTCTACCTGCGGATGATGAAGCGGACGTTGTGAATGGGGAAGAAGGAAATGACTCAATTGGGATGTAATCATAAAAACAAATATTCATCGTTGTGAAGTCTGATATACATAATCTTCATTGTTCATTTGATCTCTGCGAGGCGGATGCAAAGGTGGATAGTTTTCCCGTTCGTTCGGTCTCATGTTTTCAAAGTTCATAGGATAACTTTGAGTATGTTGTAAAGAGAAATGGTTGGGATGATCGTTCGGCCTGATGTATTGAAAGGCCAAAGGATTACTGTGACCTTGGTGTAAAGGTAAATAGGATTCACTTTCGTTTGGTCTGATGTTTTGATACTCAAAAGATGAATCGTTTGGAGGCATTCCCACTCGGTTATAATCAAAGCCAAGGTTAGGACGCATAGAGGGTAATCCCACTAAGTGAGTTTCTGAGTAGGGGATCGCTTGTTTGGGGGGATGATTGAATAGCACTTGACCGCGTCCCAAAGAGACGTCAGGATGTGAATGGTCCAACGTGTTTGGTTGCACTTCAGCCAGGATGCGATCCGCGCGGTTTGGGAGTACATTTTGAGATGACGAAGGTGCAAAGACATTTTTGATGAGACATTGACTTGGAGGATTTGAGGTAATTTTTTTTCTCTTTAAATTTGTTTTTGAGCTACCACTTGCTGCGCGTTTCTTGGTTGGTTTTTTTGAACTCTCCACAACCTCTATCTTCTGGTCGAATGCGGTAGGTAGCTCTGATCGTTTCCCTTGAGCCCTTGTTGATTTCAATTGAGGTTGAGTTGGTGGTCGATTCTGTTTCAGAGCGGCAACCTTCTCAGCACGAGACTGAGTTTCGCGTAAGTAGATTCCAAAGTCGTCCCTCCTAGACCATAACTCCAGGTTTTCCAGAATCAACTTAAAAGTGCCCTTGATGGGTTCACTTCCAAAGATCAAGCGCAGAGATGCCCCGTTTCGTAAAAGTTGGTAATTCTTGATGATCTTCCAGACATGGACGTCTGTGAACATATGTTGAGGGCCAACATAGCAATTTCCAGCTGGGTAGGTGGTTTCGTACAATGAGAGGAAAGATTGTTGCAGTTCATTGCCTAGTGAGACCAGGAGGGAATTTTTTCGAATGACCTCGTTTGCGGCGCATGGAAGAACCGCCTCAGAAATTGACTTGTTACACTGTATCGGGTGCATCGTCCATCCATTCGTGACTGGCATGGTTCGAATGTCCTTTGACGTAACCAAACTATCAAAATTCAGAGTCGTGGCATGAGGCTGACATTCCAAAAATGAGGTTACCAGATCGGGATGACAGTTTGAACAGAGGCATTCTTGCATCTGCTCATCTTGCTGGCGTTTTTGCTCTTTGATGTAAAATGGATCCTCAAAAGAGAGAGGAACATGACCGACACTAGCATTACAAAGTTGCTTGTCAGAAATTTAGTCAATATTTGAGGATACTTGATGGAAAACCGCACTTACACATTGTCGACCTGAAAGGCGATTCGAAGGCAAACTGGAGTGATGGCCAAAGCATCCATGCGGTCGTCATCGGACATTGAATAGGGATTAACAAAATCGGAGATAAGGTTTTTACCGTTAGGACGTTTTGTTTCCACCAACATTATCCCTACCCCAGGTCTACCATCACGTCCACAACGACCTACCATCTGGCCAAGAACAGACGGATCAGAGCGTGCCAATGTGATGACTCGCCGAGTATGAGGCCAATCGCAACCCATTCCCAATGCCATAGTACAAGCCATGACGGCTACTTCGCCATTGCTGTACGCCTCCGTATGTGCCTTCTTGTCCTTGGGACCCGTAACAGCATGGAAACGACGAACACAGGCACTATTTCCATTGAACCGCTCAGGTTCCAAATCACGGGCCTCGCACACTGCTTGATGAATTGCCAGTGTTTCGTTCTGAGAGTTGGAATAAATGAGCGTGCGTGGTATTATCGAGTTGGAAATTACTGAATTGGGGGCAAAAAAAGACCGGATGTCATTCCCGGATTTTGCTGGGTGTTCAAGTGGAGACCGAATGAGACGGATCTCTTGGCGAACCAGCTCGCCGTCCAGCATTTCGACATCTTCATCTGTCCATTTCAAATTAGCCTTGATTGCATCGACTGCAAATGGTCTGCAGGTCGCCGTTAATAGAAGGACAGGAACTCCGGCTGACAACAATCGCTGTGCTAAGTTTCCGTAAGATGGCCTGAAAACGCCGCGATCTTGGGTTCGCAGGTGAGCTGATGAGTGTCGAGCTTCACGAGATTCGACGATACCCCAAGAATAGATCGAATGTGCCTCGTCGATGACAATTAAGATGAGGCGACGTTGAAATTCTGGGGAAAAAAAAACTGTACGAAACAGAGGGTTGTTGAGAAATACTTCAGGGCTCTAAACAACGCACAAGGACACATCAGCTTCAACACGATCGTTTGAAAGTGACAACATTGTGCTTACCATGTAAACAAACTGATAAGCACCTCCCTTTATATCTTCGAAGTTCTTCTTCGTTGCATTTTCCGACGTGCAGTTGATCGCCGACAGGCCCCGTCGAGTCTTGTCAGCAACCTACAAAACCGAAACCATAAATCAGATGATTGCTACGTCAACAAAATATAACAAGCGTGGCTGAAAACTGTACCTGGTTGTTGCCTAAGTAGTCCAAAGGGCAGATTGTTAACACGATCGACTTGACCTTATCTTGATGCAGGGCCGCATATACTTCGGCAATTCGGGACTTCCCATAACCAGTCCCGGCTCGCAAGAACGTGTGTTTTCCATTGACCAGCGAGACAGTGGTTTTGATTTGAAGAGGTCGACCCGGCTGATCGAACATTGACATATATTTTTGGGACACCGCATCTGTCTGATAGGCCGTGGTGTTGTTGCGCAAATATTGAGGTATTTCCGGCTTGACCAAGTGCCGGTGACGTTGCTGAGTCAAGGGAGGTTTGATCGGACTGAGGTTGAGCGTTTTTGAAATCGAACGTCTGAGCATCTTGGTGGTACTATGCGGAATGATGGAAGCGAAAGTTTACCACAAGTCCAGTGGTAACCGAAATGGACAACCCGGTCCGGGGAATATCACGTACTGTCGGGTTATGGCTTTACACTGACCCTGACACCACAAATTTACTGTTGTAGCTCAGCGAGGGGTGGTGGGATTTCGATAGTTCCACATTTGGGATGTGTAGGTAGACCCAGCGCATCTCTGGATGCAGAGCAGACCGAAAATCCTCGGTGTGCTTAGAGATAGAAGAGAAAGAATCATCTCTCCGCCAAAGGAAGTCTAAGGCTTCAGGCCAAAACACCGACATATACCGTAAGTCCCTCATGCTGAGACATGCGGATTCAACTTGCTTGAATGACAGCTGTCGAAGCATCGAGGGACTTAGTTAAGTTAGGGTTTGTAAGGTCTACCGCTCCTGAGGGTCAGCTCAGCAGCCGGTAGTCACACTTGGCCCCGGGCGCTCAAATCAAATAGTATCGGGGCCACGATGTGATTTGTCGAGTTTGAAGTCAATCCGCACTTCCAACCTATCGAAGACTTCCCAATTCTGTTGCTCAGCATTCGCATATAATCTAAATGCCACCGTCCGATCCAACCAGCACTTCTCTAGCTGAAGCTGATGAAGACCAACGGCTCCGTGACGCCAAGGATGCGAATCAAGCACGATTTGAGGAAGACCTAGAAGTGAGCAATGCTGACGAGAGCCTTTCGACACTGGAAACTTGACCATTGGTGCAAGAATGACTGATCTTTCGGTCAACTGCCACTCTCAAACACCTGCACGAATGATCAACCCAACAGTTCGTTCAATCGCTTGCCAACCCTCATTTTGTTCAGGAATTGACCTTGAAGGGTATCCTCGCATCCGAGCCAATGGTCAAGTTGAGTTGACCCTATCTCCTTTACTTATCTTCTTTCTTTGGTTGTGACTAACCTGTATGCCACCTTGAAATTATCCTCCTCAAGCTACCTGAATTACCTCAAGTACTTCCACGATCCGCAATATGCCGTCTTCATTCGTTATCCAAACTGTCTTCTCATACTTGACCTGTTGAATAAATCAGAAAAGTTTCGAACCATGATTGAAAGCCAAGAAAGTGCTCAATTCCTCAGTGATAAGCTCATCCAGAATTGGATCACTCTGAGTGGTCGGCTCAACAAACCGACGCCAGGCTACAAAGACGGAGGACAAGAGACAACTCAATTGTTCGACAGACTTAATGCTGCCGCTGGTAATGGTAAAACAGGTCTTGATGAGATGGCAGACGGCAATGCAGAAGGTGGTTCTCTCAATGGCAACTCGCCTTAGTTCTTTACATATCTTTTTCAACGCAGGCGATCTCACCGTCTCTAGTCATGTATCATATAATCATATAATCTTGTTGTTTTGCGCGCCAATCAAGGAAGCCTTCTGGCAACACAAAGCTTTTTATCGATGTCACATAAGATGGATTGCAATAAGCCTCACACAGCACGCAACAGTCAACCGTGACAGATCATCAACCACATAGCCAAAGCAAGGAAAACAACTCAATGAGAATAACAATAAAGACATCCGACGTTGGCTTGCTTCGGGAGTCCTAGAGAAAAGAACAATCGAACAAATGGTCAGCTCAAACATCCTTGGATCAGACGATTGGGTCACGAGATGCTTTGCGTAGAAAATAAAGTGTTCAGGGACTACACTATAGCGTATATTAAAAGAAGTGAGCCCAGGGATATTCTCAGCGAGAAAAGCGCTTGACTGGTGCCAGTATAATGTTCATCATTTAAGGGAAGGACATTGATATGAGAGGGTCTTACTTACCTGCTCACGAGTCACAACCACTAGGATCGAAGTTGTGGTTACGGCTAGCGGAGGGAGCACGATGAGGACGGTTTAAGTATGATTGGAGCCAAGTCGGCTGACCTGTGGGTGAGCGCGGATCACATGTTTTTAAATGACTGTTATTGATATACTGTGTACGACTTCGTCCCCCATCTCTCTTGTCGTCTAGTGGTTAGGACACATGGTTTTGATTTGTTCAAACATCCATGTAACTTGGGTTCAATTCCCAACGAGAGATTTGTTTTTTACACCGGATGCAATGTCTTGTATTCGGGGCTGCAACACGCTGTCGCTGCCTCACGGACTACACATGCCCCGCGCGCGACAAGTCAAACACTATCAGTGTTTATGATACTTGAAATACCTGCAATTGATGTTTCTGATGTGGGTGTTTGAAGCGTCCGTATACCTTTGTGAGCTCAACGGGGTGAGTGCTGGCAGATATCTCATTTGATTGAATCCACGGTCATCCTTCTCAAGAACTGATAACCAACAAGTTCATGTACATTCTCACATTTTGACCAGCGAGTGCAAAATTCAAATTTCCCGCAAAGGACGCACTATATACAAGGTAAAAGATGAGGCGAGATTCTCTTGATCCGGAAATAATACACATCTGTAGAGGCTTATGAAGCGCTTTGTGAAGAAATGTAGAGATTTTTACAATCTCCAAAGAGATATGTCTATCACGAGTAGGCCTCACAAAAAAGTCTCCCCTAAGTGAAAATGATTTGGTTTGTAGTAGCAGAGTTGAGCGGCTGGTCAGACATCAAGATTTGATGTTCGTCATGATTTTGAGAGGATTGTTTTGTAATGAATTCGAACATGTCTTCAGCAATGATTTTTTCCACTATCGGTGTTGGATGGAGGTAATCCTAAACCACGAGAGTGAACCAGAAATCACACAGGACATCAGTCGATCTTTTTTTGGAAAAGTGTAGAAAGTCAAGTTTACCCAGAAGAAATATTTGTCAATATCCGAGCACGGAGTGTCATTATTGTAGCATCTATCAGAGATATTGTCGATGCCGAACTATAAATAAAATAAGACCAGAGTTTTAGTGGGGAGCTTGATAAAATGCGATCTGATTTGATCCAGAAAAAAAGACAATTACCTTTTGAGGATTTCGAATTACTGAATCCCAAATTTTTGATACATCATACACTTTCACAGATCCACCGGTTGTATCATTTGTAGTTTGACTTTGTGAGAATATCGAAATGAGACCCTGAAAAGAATAGCCAATCGTTAAGGGACTAGAAAGATGGGCAGAGAGTTTTGAAGCAAAGTTGGGCTGACATTGTTGTATTGTTCGATGAGTAATCCTAGCAATTTCAAAACATTCGCTTCCTTTTTCGTATCACCTTTTGCCCAATCTTGTGCATAGCCGCGCTGTAATGGGGCAATGGTGATGTTGGGTACGGCGACAATCAGAAAGCTAGAGAAAATCCTGTCACGAGAAATTGATCAAATCCTTGAACAAAGATCAGCATTGACCTTACACGTCCCAAAGGACATTTCAGTCTTTATTTCAAGACGCATGAAATGAACTGACTCGTTTGATATGGTATAATTACGAAGATGTGCAATTTGGTAGTGCACTTCTTCGATTTGTTTCTGTATCCTTGTAGTCGCGTTCAAAAAGAGTGGATCACTGGGGTATTGGGCTCCTGTGCCGTTATTGCGACCAGGTTCACAGGCATCAATCCAAATCGCATCCAATGGGTTGATGCCTACCCATAACATGTGGAGGACTTCTTGACTCTTGTGGCTAACTTTGCCAGATTGTAAATCCAAAATATAATCCTTCATCTGGGTGCGAGTATCGGTGATATGCGGCCCAAGATTCGTAAGTTCCTCGTTGGCGTGTGCACCATTACTGGCGATGTTCAAAGCCAAATTCATGAAGAGTATCAGTCGCTAGTTTCCAGCATTGGTAATCTAAGGCTTATTCGAGTGGCTTGAAGTTGACTTACTAGGCATAGTCGTACAGTTGGACCTCAGTATGAGTAGACAATTTTTTCTTGAGGATATTTGGCCATAAGATAGCGGTGGAAGCATTTCCGAGTCCTGCATAAATTGGATCTGATTTTGACAAGCGTTGCAGGCCTCCATCGTCAGTTATTCGCAAAGAGATTTGACGCTGTCAAGTCATGGAGATGCTTGTACTGACTTCTGAGAGGGTCTGAGGCATTGTGACCGTTATCTTAACCCGTCGGTCCCACAACCGAAAGAACCAATTAATATTCAATAGTACAATCCAACGTGATAAAATAATCACCCGAGTAGGAATCGCCGAAGACCACCAGGGATGAGAATTTAGACTGAGCCTGCTTGGAGCAAAACGGGCTGTAAATATGTCGATTTTTTTATCAGTAGGTTGTTCAAATGTCACGAGAGAGCTCAATGAGCTTTCTGTAAAAGAGGACATATAAATTTACCCAGTCAAGATGTAACACAAACTAGAGATCGCAATCGTCCCGGATGCGACAAAAATCAGAGCTCGTGCAATGGTCCGCCGATTGTAAGAGCGGCCACTCTGAAGCTCTGGAGGTAGAGACATCAGTCAGGATCCCGTCCGAGCTTTTGAAAGAGAAGCAGAAGGATTTCTTTGTATTCTAAACTATATCGATCGATGAGGTTATGAGGTTGATCAGGTCCAACGGAGAATCAAGAATTCGCAATATGTTGGGCCTGCTTTAATATATTCAGTTCGGGTTGAATTGGGTGGATGAACCACAATATCTGGCAGATCCTCTGGCATGTCATAGTGTAATCTTATATGCACAGCGTGCGATTTTCCACATCATCATGAGACATGCCATAGAAATTTAAATTATGTTTATGTACATAGCGAACACCCACCGATCAGCGATTAAAGGTCTTTCTTTTTGTCACGCTTGAAACCGCTCGCCCAATCGTGACCCCTCTTTCGGAAAACTTGAAGGCTGTTTCTATGGTATGCATCCTTGAGCATCATATATAGGACGGGTCCCCGTCAGGGCTATGTAAGTACGCTTGTGGATCTTGTGAATGAGGGCCCAGGGGTCTCCGAAAATATCAAGAACTCACAAATTGAAGAACCCCTAAGGTTAGACAGGACTCAGGAGACGGACAAGACCAGACTGAGTCAGAGACGCCACCACACAGTTATGGCTATTGCTACATGGTCCTAAGGGTGCATATCAGCTGGTAAAGTCTCTTTTCCTGTCTAAGAGTGTGATGGGGTAACTTGTATCCTCTTGATACAAGTCTGGTCTTGAACGTTTAAACCCGTTCTGGTCTGGTCTTTAGTGATAGTGAGTAAAATAGGAAAGTATAGTAATAATAATTTCGATAAAGAAGAAAAGGAAAAGTCTAACACAAAAACAAAGTATATAAAGCTAACAACTTCGAATCAGGAACAGATATCTTTGAGAAAGTATTCCCGCTAAACAGAAAGAAAGAAAAGGTACAATATAAAAGACTACTAAATTAAAGAGATAAAAAAGGTACAAATTATTTTTAATTATAACACATATTAAAACGAGACAAGAATAGCATGTATCTAGTTCCTGAACTACTTGTAACAGAAACTTTATGACAATTATGATCTACCATATAAGAAGAATCAGAACATTTTTGATCTAGCAATCCAAACAGATGAAGGAGGTCCAGTACCCAGCGCCGGTGATAACAAATGAAATTTTTGTAACCAAGGATCGAGAACAGTTGAAATTTGAGTGAGAGGTGTCCATACATCATCCAGACCAGAAGTATCCCCTCCCCGTAAAAGATATTCGAAAACACCATGAGCATTAACACGATAATTAATAATAAAAGAAGCAATGCCTGCGTCATGATCCTCTTGCAAAAACCCATCAAAAGAATTGTCCATTGCAAAAGACTCCCCTAAAAACGGCGACAAAAGAGAGACGTTAAAGACAGGATGCAGCCGCCGAAGAGAAGTAGGCAATTGTAACTCAGCAGCATTTTTCCCTATCATCCGCTTGACAGGAAAAGGACCTATCCGCCGGACATCCAGCTTGTTGGAAGGCCGTGACGTTCGCAGATGCCGTCTAGAAAGCCAAACCAAATCCCCTGGCGCATAAACTACCTGCAACCGCCGAGATCCGTTGTAAAACTTGGCTTGAGCAGCTTTGGCTTTCTCCAGATTTGCACGAAGAGAAAACTGAATGCGTTGCAGATGCTCCACAAAATCGTCAGCCCGAGGAACCCCAGATGTAGCCACTAGAGAATTAAACCGGGGATGATACCCAGTGTAAGAAAAGAAAGGTGAGAATCCTGTGGACGCCGAGGGTGAGTTATTATAAGAAAACTCAGCAATAGGCAACCACCGAACCCAATCCGATTGATCTTCTGAAACAAAGTGTCGAAGGAAATCTTCCACCAAAGCGTTAACACGCTCCACTTGCCCATCCGTTTGCGGATGGAAAGCCGTCGAAGGTGCCGGCGAAACATTCAAAAGATTCAAAACCGCTGTCCAAAATTTAGAAACAAAGGTAGGACCGCGATCAGAGACCACAACATCCGGTAGCCCATGATAACGAAAAACATGAGAAACAAAAGACTCAGCTAAAGACTCCGCATTCCATGATTCCTTAGCAGGAATAAAATGCGCTCCTTTACCCATATGATCAACGACAACCATAATGGAGTCGTATCCTTGAGACAAAGGTAGCTTGACAATGAAATCCACCCCAATGGTCGACCACGGTCTTTCTGGAATTGGTAAAGGAAGAAGTTCTCCTTGCGGAGGACGTCTGTCCACTTTGACCTTCTGGCAACTGACACACTTCTTCAAAAAGAGCAACAAATCTTCACGAACATTAGGCCAACTGAAAGTTCGAGTCAGGAGATCCAGAGTCTTCATGCTTCCCCAATGACCCGCAGCCGGTGATTCATGCATCTGCCGCATAACTGCCGTTCGAGCTTCTAAAGGAACATAAATCCTATCCCGCCACCACCATAAATTGCTCTGATATGTGAGCTGCTTTGGCCGGTGTCCTTGGATTAAAGAATCTGTAGAATAGAAAGTATGAAACCACGACTGAGTTTCTGTAGAAGCGGGTAAAAAGAGAGAAGGATCCGAGCGCCCAAAAATAAGGTCCTTTCGGAGAGTAATTGCCTGAACTGCTAGTCCTTTGACTTCTCGTAACCCAAGCAGAACAACTCTATCGGATGTTGTCTTTCCTTCCGTCAAATCTGTCCGACGAGAAGCAGGGTCAGCAGGATTA